GACAGAAAGGAACATGGTTGGCCGGGTGACGAGGTACGATTGTCTGCGATGCTTCTAACCACAGCCAAAGCCTCATTCCGCTGTTGTGAACATGAACAGCACCCATTCGGACTCCATTTCCCGTATAATGAACCAACTGAACCAGCGCGGTGAACAGGCTGTCAGCCAAGTCGTAGAAACAGGTCAAATCATGCCCCGCTTTAGACGATGCTGCATGTGTTGGTACGTTGCTGTCGGTTGTTAGCATCAGGCAACACAATTCGGCAACAAGTTCACCGTAACAGGTATCCTAGAATTTTATCATCATGCTCATAATTTGACACGATCTCGCCTGACTTAATCTTAAGAGCTTTCAAAGGGCAGGGAGGGAGGGATTACCGAAGGCATAGGCCTTGCAAATCGAATTTCGGCATGCATTGACATGCATGTGAATAAATGTTGACTGAGAAAATAGAGTTAAGCTCGCACAAATAAGTAAACTGAAAAAATGCGATGTTCATATATGCCACTCAAGAACTTTTGTACGCCGGCGGCACGCTATAGTAGGGTTTTCACTGATAAACTTCTGGATACATCCTTTTTTCTGCGAAATCCCATACAAACCCCGGTAATCTAACGCAACTTCAATTCAACAGCACCCAATAGCGACTTGTGACCATCTTTCTGATTCGGCGACAGGAGCCGCCGCCTTTGGTTGTTGGTACAAGCATGAAAGATGGAAGTCTATCCTACAGGATGCACCCACACCCGCTGACGCACACCCCTTTTACGGTGTCTCACCCATAGAAGTCATAGGTCACACATACGGGACAAGCGGGCCCGTCTCTGAAAGAAAAACATTAGCCCCAGTCGATTGAAGCCGTATTCACATTTTGACGACTTTTGACCTACATACGATGGTGGGGCGGAATGCCCCAGTTTAAGCGATCGCGTGTGAAGTACCCTACACACAGTCTGTTCTCAAATGCGGCACACCGCAAAATGTCAAAGTTTCCAGCAGAAATGCCGCGCCTCTTAACATTTTTTAAAGATTACAATCCACTTTTACTCACAGGCGGGTCCAGTGGATAGGCCAACAGCCCCTTCCCAGAACTGATAACAGCTCAGCCTGTCCCTCTCGCTGCGCTTGTATGTCGTGTCGCGGGCGCGGGATTTAAAACCCAGCTCCTCTTCAAATGTCATGTCGGATCGGCCACTGCTTGATTGCATTCTACACAGAACGCGACGAACGTGAAAGGAAATGAGAAATACTAAAATATATTTCCAAGAAAGACCCAGTACATCTTGACACACCAAACGAAAGCCGAAAAAATCGACGAACAACATATGAACCACAGTTCAGTTATACAATTAAACACTACCCACCATTGCAGTTTTATATCTCTAACCACTCTCTGCAACTCACGAACATAAATGTAGAAGACACTTCGATACAGCACACATGTCTAGCAATGTAGCCCCACCCCTGTCGTCGCCTCACAGACGTACGCCGTTGGTTGGCCTCACCGACGCCCGCCGCCACGCTACCGGGGTCATCAGGACCCGGTCCCGGCAGAGCACCAGCCGCCGCTCCGCAGACGGACACTCGTATGGAGTCGGGAGGCGCACCACCTCCCGGACCGAGAACTGGGCCCAGTCAGCTGTCCACACCGACCGCACTGGCCGTCCGTCTGTCGCACGGGCAGCCGAGGTGAGCCGGGGTGAGCCGGGCCGCCGACCGCTGACCGCACAGGTCAGGCGGGCCGTAACAGCAGGCTGAGACTGACAGAGCGCCGCGCACAGCCCCAGCCACACCCGGTGTCGCCACGCAGCTCCGGCCACACAGCCCGTCCGGCCCGCGGGCTCTCCCGTCGCTCGCACCGCCGGCACATCGCAAGCAGAGGCGCTAGCCGCCGCGACGACGTGTGACAGCGCGGCCCGGCCCCAGCCGGTCGCGGCCCCGGCGGAGTCCCGCGGGGGACGGCGTCCTGCTGGCCGGGCCGGCCGGCTGCGGCGCCGCCTCCGGCTAGCTGAACATGGTGTCCTGGCTGAGCGAGGCCGTCACGCGGAAGAGCTGGTCGGAGATGAGGCAGCGCAGCCGCTGCGCCAGCGGCCGCGAGCCGGGCCCTGGACGGGCGCACGTCACGCGCAGGATGTACTCCTTGGTGACGGGCGGCGGCAGGCCCTGGTCCGGCTGCGGGTCAGGGGAGGCGGTCAGTGCGCGGCCTGGGGCGTCAGCAGCGCGGCGGCGGCCGTCCTAGTGTGGCCGACGCCCGCCCCGGTCGGTCGAACCGGAAGAGCCCGCTCATACACGTCACGCTCCACTGACAAAACTGTGACGGAGAGATCTGGAATGGTCAAACTCTGTGCAACGGCGACACAAACGGGGTTGTACTCTCGCAACATGAGTTGGTGGGGCTGAGCAGTAAAACATGACGAAACTGACCCCCAAAATGCGCAATGAAACGCCTTTCTCCACGGATTTGGTCCACTTTCTTCTTGAAGAAAATAATTTCACTCCTGGTCAACGCCAATAAGCCAAAAAGGTCACAATATCACATATGTACAGAAACTGAACAAGAAAGGGTTCACAGCACATGAAAGCAGCTAGTTCTGCCGTGCAAAGGTAAAATCCATGTGTCGATTTTTGGCCATTTTGCGTGTTTTATATTATCTGATTCGTCTACTCACGCTGAATTCGGTTATTTAAACCATCAGTTGAAATTTTCACAAGCTTTTTGCCCCTTCATTTAGCTAAAAGCGTTTGAAAATTTCAACTAATGGCTTAGATATCCGAATTCAGCATGAGCAGAAGAGTCAGGTGACATAAAAACGCAAAATGGCCAGACATAAACATATGGGGACAGACATAAACATAAACCTTTGGCGGCAGAGTACCACAAACATATCTTTTTGGACCGCGATTTAATTTAAATACGGTGTGCACACACCATTCCAGAATTTGATTACTGGTAAGCGCGACCCAACATCATACCATGCCACTGACAATTTGGCCTGGACATATCACGTACCACATGGTCATGCACCGAGGGGGTAAAATGCTGTTTTCTTTCAACGTTATACGGTTATAAGCGACGTTGCAGGCCGGGCGTGTCTTAAATGAACTATGCGAGACTATTCCACTGTGCGGCCGGGTCCGGTCCGACCATCACCTCTGGAAGCCAACAGTATTACAACCGCCGATCACAGTCTCGTGTAGCTTTTAAGCAACAAGAAAGCGATTAACCAAAGCTGTGCTGTGCAAATGCCTAGACAACGGCATGGAAGCTGTTTGTTTGGCCACGCAGGACTTCCTGCAATATTGTGATATATAAGATTTTACCTTCCCCATTCAATAAGCAGGAAAGCATGCCGTTTTCAAACAGCCAGAAGATAAAGGACGCGAGCGAAAACAGGGTGTCTGTTCTGACGAGCTGGGATTGCAACGACACGAGACTAGCATGATTATGACGGGGAGGGGGGGGGGAATACAAATGTATGCTCAGTAGCGTGGATCAGTGTCAGAAGACGGCTCCGTGCCCTCGTGCATAAGCCCTACCGCCGCTTGCATTCAGCATGCTTTTAGAAATGGCGTCCGTTCCCACTAATCATAGCAGTTGAAGACGCAATATCGTTTGAATAGGCCAATGCACCGCTTAAAGCTCGCTAACGGATCTCAAACTGTTCGACGCCGAAGGTAGTTGCTAACGGATCTCAAACTATTCGACGCCCAAGGTTAACGCCGTAAGCCGCAACTGAGATGAGAGCGGTCAATTACTCTTCTCGAGCAGATGCTGCATCGGTGGACCTCGGCCGTGAAATCATGATGACAAAAGACGTTTCAGCGCCGCAACCAAAGCTTCTGATATCCCTCGCCGCAAGAATTGTGGCTTCATACGCTTAGTTTTGAAGCATCGTCCGCACAACACCGCCTAGCAACTCTGCCGTCCGCCGTCGCCTCACACTCACACGCCACACGGGACGTCTTACTGCTAAAATATGAACCAAGAGTGATATGCTATGGGGTCATAAGGCCGCAAATCGGCAACAGCACATTCGCATGGACAGCTGACAGGGAATGGATGCTCACTTTGTAATGCAAGCAATCTCCTGGAAACATTTGAAAGCACGGGGACAAGACAGTCACAGTATGGAAATCCGTCGAATGATCGAGCTGAAAAATGGCGTGACTGGCATGTCAAAAGCTGAACTACGTTAAGTGAGTCAAGACCAATTATATTATCTTATATTTATTTATCATAGATCTTAAATAAATATTATAAAGATTAAATCTTAAAGACTTAAAGACTATATTAAAAAATTACGCCACGGCTTGGTTGCTCAGCTGCACGCAGGCCCTGGCTGAACGTGCACCACTCGGCACACACCGACCTGTCTGGCAGTCAGCATCTTCTCGAGATGGCGGGCAGCACCTCCGTTGGCACCGCCCGGCACCGCCACCTCAGCGCCACCTATCAGCTGCTGCACAAACTTGTCCTTGTCCTGGACGCCCTCCAGCTTCAGCACCAGCGAGCGGCGCCTCAGCACGTGATGCTCACACCGGGCCAGCAGCTCACCCACCGCCTGTGAGAACCACCCACCACACGGCGCTCTCACCACGTCAAGGCGTTACCTCAAGGGAGCACAGCAGCGCCACAATCCCTCCGGATGGCGACAGCGTGCGAAACGGGCCCAATGACAACGCCGCTGGCAGGTGGTCGTTTGGGGTGCAGGCACTTCACATGCAACTCACTTCCAAGAACTACATAAGCATTATCATAGAGCTACGAGTGTTCAATATAATACAAAGTGCAGCGAGCCTATTCTGCATTGGTTGTCTCCACTAGGATATCACGGTTCTGGCCAGATCACTCCATAACTCCCAAAAACTTGGCTCCAAATGGCCCAGTTCGTCCTCCCATCTTTCCCAACCCATCCACACTCAGTCATGGCCTTAAGAGTCATGAGACGTCAATGTCATATACCGAACGTTTAATGACGAGGGATCCTCGGCGCAACGTCTGGATGGAGTGCACATAGTGGTAAAATGAATTGGCGCCTGTAAATACAACAAAACACCCCCCCCCAAAAAAAAGAAGAGATATAAGCAGGTTTCACCCCAGATTCTGCTCACTCTTTTCTCCGAGTAGTGGAGAGGGAAAAGTTGGAGACCACACCCCAACAGAACAATAGACCCCTGAGTTCACCCTAGCCCGCCGGGACAGGTCGGATCCCGGGCGAGCCCAGGTGCAGTGCAGGTCACGCACGCTATAGGCGCTGGCCTCCCAGTCAGCCTTGGCGGCCGACTGCAGACGGCGGGCCGCCTCTCCCAGCTGCTGCCCCACCGCGGCAAGGTCATCAGGCTCCAATTCTTCCACCAACCTATAGATGGCAGCGTGGTAGATGACAGGCGCCAGCTGTGAAGCAGAGCATATTACCAACTACGGAGGGTCGTAAGCAGGCACACGGAGCAAGATATACCCGATCATCGAGCAAACGTCCCAGTCAATTCGAGCCCAGCATTGAGGACTGCCTACATCAGTTTCACGGAGTAAACGTTAGAACAGAACACTATAAGGGAACGCTAGAAGGAATGGCAACCTTTGCACTGGTTCGTGAAATATAAATATTTATAGCACCAAGCATCTGAATATCGTGTCGTCGTATGACTGCCTTGACACCAAGTGAAAGCAGTGGATGACCTCCAAACGGCGGGGCCAGCCCGTACACAGGTGTCCGGATGGCCCCTGCCTGGTGCGGTGACTGACGTGACTTCCACACCTTCTGCGGCGCGGCGCCGCGGACGGGGTGGAGGTCACGTGTCCCGTCTCTGTTACAGCTCCGCTCTGACCCGGCCCACGGACGTGTCACACACAGCGTCACGGCCGTCTGCCAGGCTGGGGCGCACAACAGCGCGTGACAGCCGGCAGGTTGGCCCGCGTCGGCCCCGCCGCCGGCGCCGACTGACCAGCTGCAGCAGGCGGCCGGGCGCCGGCTCCGACAGCTGGTGCAGCAGCCGCTCAGCCTCGCGCGTCTCGTCGAACAGCCGCCGCTGGCGCCGCGCCGGCACCGGCTTGCAGGTGGCCCACGCCTCCTGCCACAGGTTGTCCTTGATGCGCATGCGCGCGCTCAGCTCGCCTGGCCGCGGAGGGCGGGCGCTCAGCGACGGCGGCCCGGCGGACACGCACGAGGCGTGCACGCGGCCAGCACACGCAACGCCGGCGGAAGGCACACTGGAGCTGACGGCCCTGTACGGACTGATACAACACAACGCCAACGGGAACCTACACCTGGGAGCATACGCCAGATGAACGTCTGGCACAGGGTGATGGGATATATCTCCAATGGAGGCGTACATCTGGGCCCAGTTCCTTATTGACTTTCGGCCCGAGCTCCGGCCACTGAGTGGTGTCATAGATAAACGCCAATGGGGAGCGCCCTTAAACACGCGTCTGGGTGACCGTTGACTACCGTTCGCTCGGGTGGGGGTCATTTGAGCTCTGAGTTTTAGAAGACAACAAATCTATAGGGGGTGGCCTGTATGTGCTCACTTATGCCAAAATTTGACGTTCTATGCCGTGACCTTCGGGTCAAATAAGGTCAAACAAGAGAAAACTCCAGATTGGTATCCAAAGTGCCTCCATACTTCCCCACGCAACCGCCTTGAGCCTGCATACCTGTTCTAAGCAAAAGACTGCTTGATTTTGGAACTTCGTGGAGCGTCAAGGATTACGCAGGCGACACGTTCTTAAAACTACACATTGATCTGGACATTTTGGTCAGTGAAATTCTCTGACCTTTAAGAGTCCATGGACGATATCAAATACAGCCCTGTCACCAAACAACTCCAAATGAACATCAGCACATGAGCACAACAGCACCTTTTTCTGGAGAGCCCACTAAAGCATGCTCTCCAGAAAAAGGCGGCTAATTTGACCTCGGTTGACCTTTACACCCGAACCCAAGATCGATAGAATTATCGTAACCATACATTAATTGTCTGATTGCCCAAGAAGCTTTTTCAAAAGATGCATAGCCTCGTTTAACACAGTTGTCGCATCTGATTCCCTAGAAATTATCTTTGCTGACAGCTACGGCCTGAGTTAGACCTATCATAGGTTAGCGACCTTCGAAAGTATACATATATATAGTATACCATAGTATACCATAGTATACCATAGTAAAGTATACCAAAGGATCCGCTATTGAAATGGCCGCAGCTATACAACATTTAGCGCGGCTTCACCGCGCCTTTGGAAATGATTGTAGAAAAACCACCTTTGGAGGGTCAACTTGACCGCTCACACACGAGCGCCCAGTAACTACAAATATGGGCGCAGGTAAAATCAGCTGATCCAACGTCCTGTAGACATATCGTGTGCAGGAATGACGCACTTGAGTGTTATACGACTAACATTTATTGGCAAGCAATCTGTAGCTAGGTACATCATTACCGATCACACTTTCCAACGAGATCGTAGCCTGCGTGTTGACCGGACATACAAGGCCGTCAATAGCGCACCGACCGTTGCTATGCGTTGATATCCCAGTAACGACGCCTTACTTGTAAACAAAAGCATTCACTTCGCCTCTCGGTCGAGTAGGGAATGGGCTTGGATCGTGACGTCATCTGTAAGGAGGGAGCTACTCCAAAGTAAGGAATGGGTTTCCAGTGGGTTATGAAGCACGGGGCTCTGCAGACGTCAGCTGATGGCTCGGAGATGGCTGACTGGGTACGTCACCAACGGGGACATGCACCTGGCACTTGTATAAGGTGGCCAATGCCAAATAGAAATGCCGCATTTAGGGCAAGCTGGATAATGCTGGGAAAATATATACTCCTTTACAAACATGAGTGACAGGCTGCAAAAAGTGAAAGTGGAGTCGACCCAGTGCAAAGCGCTAAGATCCAACTTGATTGCCACCCGGGTTTCAGTGGGTGATGGTGATCATGACGATCCAAGCTCTCAGAAATGTCAATCATTCGTTTTTCCAGGAATCAAGCTTGTTACGGGCAAGGCAAGCCACCCGTGTCAACCTTTCCATGCAAGCGATGCGACTACCCCACGAAAGCCGTTGTGCAGCGATCGGGGCGGTGCAGCGGTCTGAGCTGCCTGCGCCGTACCTGTCTGGCCCGACGGGTCCGTCTCATCCTGCACCCAGTCGCTGGGCGAGTACCAGCGCACGAAGTCGGCCAGCGTGCTGCCCGGGTTGGCGGCCTGCGGACGGCGGGTGGGGTCTCAGCCACCGGCGCTCACGGCGCTCAGGACCGGGCCGTCACGCGCCAGCCCACCGGCGGACGACAGACCACGGACGCGCCAGCAGCGGGAGGCAGACCCGTGGGTCGAGCCCAGCCGACGAAACGTCTCGGCACCGCACGACACCGTACATGCTCCTCAGCCTCGTCTAGCTGGCAGGCCGAGAACACTGGCCTACAGACTACTTCGCACCACCTTACCGGAGCGGCCAGCCTCCTCACGGCAGGCTACACTGACCACGGACTCTGACGACACCGCGCTCGCTGCCCACCGACCGGAACATCACCCAGTGCGGCGGTGCTCGCCGGCCCGCTGTGATAACAGAGGTGATACGCGGCCAGGCCCGTCACTGATGGGGTGATTACCAGCACAGGCTTTCGATGGGCGCCACGATGATAACAGGCGGGGATCAGGCCATCATGTACATCGTTAGTCAGCGTACCGTCTTGAAGGCTTAACGAAGGTGTGATGTTGAGGCACTGGACGAGCCACAGAGGCGTGCAATCCTAATAACCTTGATACACCATCACATTCGGTAGCAGGAAACGCAAACACGTAGACTATTCTGTATCTATTTACAGCATGCTTCTAGCTGTTCGGTTGCCCGTCAAGAGAGCCGGTCCCTTACTGAACACATACTGCTGTGGAGGATGTGATGGCGTACAAGTAATGCAACACTGCCGGCAGATCTGCGAGTGCTCAGCAGTGACCCGTCGCGTCAGAGGTCGGCGCCGGCGACTCACCTTGAAAGACTCCATGTCGGAGGTGAGCGACGCGCCCATCATGCGCGCCCGCAGCTGCGCACCCTCGGCGTCGGTGCCCAGGCTGACCAGCACCTCCGACTGCTCCTGCTGCCGGTCCTCCGTCACCGGCGCCACGTCCTGCCGCGGGAGCGCACCGCACGCGTGACGTCACAGCCAGCTCGAGGGGGGGGGGCTCTGACGTACCCATCCAACCGCGACGCGGTGGCCGGCCAACAGGTGACTGGTCGTCTTCAACAGTCCAGCCTGCTGCCGCGCTCTGCGCGCGGCCCAGCCATCGACCGGCCAGCTCCCTGGCGCCACCTACACACAGAATCTCGCACTGCAGTGTGCCGCAGGTGGCGCTATGGGGCTCACCTGCGTCACCGGGATGTACATGCGCTCGCCGGTCTCGAGCAGGCGGAGCGCGCCGCACGGTTCAAAACGGCCCTCGGGCTGGTTCCAGGGCGCCCCGCCGCTGCGACTCGAGTCCGGCTCACTGGCGCTATCCTCCGCCGCGTCGAAGAAGCTCCTCCTCCTCGTCCGTCGCCTCCGCTGGCGGAGAGGCGAGGGACGGTCAGCGGACGCGGCTCGTCTGACCACAGCAGTGGCCGCTGCCGGGCTGCCGGCGGTCAGCCTGGCTGGCTCGGGGTCCCAGTCTGATGACGGTCCCGCTCACTAGTGCGGGCGTCAGATCAGACGGCTTGTGACTCAGTATGTTGCTAGTGAAAACACACCCTCACAGCGACAGTGGATCAGTCCTATGGCCTGGGACAAGGCAACTAGGGATCAGGCCAAGTGAATACATCAGAGCAGACGGAATTGACAATTGCTAATGAACTGGAATGGAGCACGAACTTCCCGGCCGATCGAAAGGGACGGACAGAATGCGCATGGCATGGCACGGAGCGACCAGCACGACCAAATCTCAGCAGGCGCTTCCACTGGTCCAAACCACGACCAACTACGAAGGACAGCGCGTGGCCGGGACTTCCGCAGCGTGCCCCGGTAAAGTAAACCTCTGGCGTCGCCGCTGTCCAGAGCATCCTGGGCGGTCTTCATGCCCTGCGCCCGCTTCTTGAATGCAGCAGTTCAGCATCTGCGAGGGGACAGGGCCCGCATCAAGCGCCAGGGCGCAGCGTGGCGTCCTGTTTCCCGACGCACAGACATCGGTGCGGCACTGCAGGAACGAGCCCAGTCCACTTGGAGAAGACGACGGCTCAATTAGAGCTCCGATACGAGGAGCGATCGAGCACGCGGCGCCCCATTCCTACGCTAATTCGAGATTGTGAGCATCCATAACGGCCAAAATAGCGGTTAGTCGACCGATCCCTTGTCGATGCGCTCATTTGGAATGTCTGGCACGCCATAACGAGCCCCGGCCGATATTTATGGGAAATGAAGTCCCGGACGGCCCGGCATATGTCGACAATAGATCGCAACGGGATAGACCCGACAGCTTCCGGGGTGATGGGCGTGTTCCGACATCCAAAACACCCGCAATCAATATACACTTCACTGACACACGCACCATGAGAGCTGTTGAATTTCCCAGCATTACATGGGTAGTGAAATTGAGATGGCTGCAATCTGAATGAATGGCTACAGACAGCATCACTTTACTTTGCATCGCTGTTGAGTGAACGGAAGGTCACGCGGCACCCACCGCTTCAAAGGCGGCTATTCTTGCCGAAGGATGCCTTATGGAATACCTTCATGGCCCGCACGTAATCACGCGCAGGCACCCGATATAGCCCACACGAATGTTTGCACGCGACCGAGCCACGCCAGTCCCACGAATCCGGGAACAGTGAGTCACGCATCCCGTGGACGTCCACAAAGCGGCGATCCTTTAGCTTGCGCTATTGCGGCGCGGCAGGTGTCCACCGGTCGTGAATGGGGAGCGCGTGTGAGTCAGCGGGACGGGATGAGTCAGTGGCTTCCTCTGAGCGGCGGCCGGAGACGCGGGCAGACGGCCGGCCGGCGCCACACGCGGGGACGCGGCAGCGGCCTGGCGCAGACCGGCGCCGTCTGAGGCGGCGGCGCAGGCCGGCTGGCCGTCTGAGGCGACGGCGGGCACTGGTACGGGACGGCTGGCCGCCAGCTACGGCCCGCTGGCTAAGACGGGGTGCGAGTGTAGTAGGAACTGTTCACCGGGGTGGCGAGCTGGCAGATAGGAAGCAATCTGCCATGTGCTATGTTACTGTTCCACGTCGATGCGATCGAAAATCCTACATCAGTGGATCAAAAGGTATGCAGGGTGGCTTCAGCCCTCTACCATGGCTCCAGCCCCCCTTCCCATTTTGAGAAGGCAGTTGGCAAAATCCGGCAAGAAATCCGTTTGTTTGGCGTATCTTCTTTGTAGGCCCGTCATTATCCCCCCCTTATCACCCCCACCCCCCTCCAACCTATTTTTAAAAAACTACACACCAGCGGGCAATGAAGGGACGACAAATCGTTACAGAGAGCAGCGCTGATCGAATACTGAGTTCACATCTGTAAAATAGGAGCGAGAATAGCACAGTGGTCTCTGAGGATAGCAATGAATTAGCCCAATTAACTATTGCCCGTAACTCTTACTTGCTGGGGGCAGCGCACAGCTTAGCAAGGTATTCGGAGAATGCATGCCGAAAAAATGTCGACCCCGACAGAAAGAAAACACGGCAAAAAAGCTTAAGAGGTCAAGGTTGAACTCCTGGTAAACAGGAAAGGGAGATTTGGCTTATACGAAGCAGAACTAGGGGACTATCTTTATTCACGCCACCCACGCTCAACCGTTTCACTGCTTCAAGCTTTCTGCCTTACCGTTACCAACTTGGTCGCGCGGCTAGTCAACTTGGAAACGCGATTTCTTCTCTAACACTTCGGCGTCTGGATAAGAATCTCAGCAGACACTAACAGCGTCTCCAGTTTCCGTGACCTGACCTTCGGGTTGACTACATCAAAAGTCCGCTTTAAATTACATAATTCTAACTTCCTTCGCTTAAAGGTGCAGAAAAGAACTCTGCGAGAATATACGAACGGGCATCCTGAATTCTGCTCCAGTCACCACGCAGCTAAACACGCTAACATTCGAAACACATGCATTTAGTGGCAGGGACCTGTACTTAAAAGCCGGAACTGCTTGCAGATAACAACAGCCTATTATAAAATACATAATTAATGTCACAGCTAGCTGTTGCGTACTGGTAAGTGTAGTTAACTGGCCTATTTGTTCAAGCAATACTTCATCACACGATATGTTTCACCTGCATACGCGGGACACCACGCCGTACCAGTGTAGCACAACTGAAGCTGTGCTTATCTGTTGAGAGCAGGCCGAGGGAGCCCTGTTTCAGCCAGATACAATTTTCCAGTTCAGTGGTCCGGTCCAGCCTCACCGCACTGTCTGACAATGCAGGCCGAGGAACATTGGGTGTTGCGGGAGTGGGGGGGGGGGGGAGGGGACAAGGTCATGTCCCACTTTCATGAAGGCTTGGCACTAGCCCCACGGAGATACATGGAGACAATTAACTTCAAAAGTGCTTCCCTCCTCTTGCCGGAGCCAACTGATTCTTCCGAAATTTCCACGCACATACTTTACATGCTCATCACCAAGACCAAATATCATATATGCCTACGTGGTGCGTCGCCACTGAGGGTTTGCGAACCACACAGCTGCTGAAGCTATATGGCGTCACCTGCGTCTCACCCTGCCAGGAAGGGCGGGCACCGCGAGGGATCGGACCTCGCACTGGTAGCTGCTGAGGCTATATGGCGTCACCTCCGTCTCACCCTGCCAGGAAGGGCGGGCACCGCGAGGGATCGGACCTCGCACTGGTAGCTGCTGAGGCTATATGGCGTCACCTGCGTCTCACCCTGCCAGGAAGGGCGGACACCGCGAGGGATCGGACCTCGCACTGGTAGCTGCTGAGGCTATATGGCGTCACCTGCGTCTCACCCTGCCAGGAAGGGCGGGCACCGCGAGGGATCGGACCTCGCACTGGTAGCTGCTGAGGCTATATGGCGTCACCTGCGTCTCACCCTGCCAGGAAGGGCGGGCACCGCGAGGGGATCGGACCTCGCACTGGTAGCTGCTGAGGCTATATGGCGTCACCCTGCGTCTCACCCTGCCAGGAAGGGCGGGCACCGCGAGGGATCGGACCTCGCACTGGTAGCTGCTGAAGCTATATGGCGTCACCTGCGTCTCACCCTGCCAGGAAGGGCGGGCACCGCGAGGGATCGGACCTCGCACTGGTAGCTGCTGAGGCTATATGGCGTCACCTGCGTCTCACCCTGCCAGGAAGGGCGGGCACCGCGAGGGATCGGACCTCGCACTGGTTAGCTGCTGAGGCTATATGGCGTCACCTGCGTCTCACCCCTGCCAGGAAGGGCGGGCACCGCGAGGGATCGGACCTCGCACTGCTCTCCCGCACTGGTTTTATCTGGTTTTCCAAACGCGTGGCTTATCCACGACACTGCTGATAACCCCACTCCTACAGGGTTTACCAGCGCAGGATTTCTATGGTTGCATTTTCAGTGGCGTGCAAGAGACCTATGGGTGTTGTATATCCATTTTGCAGCGATGCAGCATCAAATAAAAACAAATTTTAACGAACATTACGAAAATGCATTGAGCGAGAAGCATGCAAAACAAGAAGAGACGATGTACTTAAAAACGTCATCACTTATAATGAAGCTAAATCATGGGAGCATCAGTAAAACCTGTCTCGTTAATTGTTCAAAGAGGAAACAAGCCTACACCTAATTCAGGAAACATAAACGTAGTTCATGACATTCAGCCGCATTACCCGCAAGACACCCAAAAGCCACAAGCATGTTTACATTCATTTATGACACAGTGGGCCGAGAACGTTCGCAAATCTGACGAATTGAATGCAGCAAGGTCATAACAACTTTGAAGCCGGACGACAATATTGCCATACAATAACCTGAACGTGTAAGATGAAAGGAAACGCAACGTAATAGCTCAGGCGCTTTTAAGAAATATTGCCCCCCGCAGAACATCACTATTGTGCTGACATAATCATCCCGATATGCTGACAACTGCATAGGTAATACGGAATATTATCAAATTTATATTCGCAGGTGTAGGTGATGTTGCACGGAACTAATTCATAATTGCTATGGCCGAGAAGACTGTTGGTGATGTAAATACCACACGTGTTAACTGGCCGAATCAAAGTAGACACTAAAGACGGGAGGCCAATACGGTCGGACGTCAAAGCGTTTTCATTGAGGAAATTTGAGTAGCGAAAACAAAGTGAACTGCGCTCATATTTCATGAAATTCGCCAATTTTTTTGCAAATTCAATTTAAATGCTTCATCACTCTGGAATGGTGCAGCGCTTGCGAAACGCGAGGCACGCTAAGTATTTAATTCAATTGAAATGCCTTTACAATACCTATGTACGTGTTTGTCTTTCAGCAAGAGGTTTATGAATGAACTTTCATTCGAGGACATTGCTAGAACTTTTATTCGAGGACATTGAGATAGAAATACCCGGCTTGTAACTCAGCCCTGCCAAACTGTACAGCAGAGGTGGAAGAACAACCTAAAATGCAACCGCGGAGGACCTGATAACAGAATGAGGTGCGGCAGATGGATATAGGTGACATAAAGATCTCCAGACAGCATGCTAGAAGGCAAATGCAGGGGCCAACCAAGCCACGGGCCTCCTCATGGCAGTCCAAAACACCTACATTCGCGTTATTCATGTTTGATTTAAATGTCATGACACCGAATTTGGCAACTGACCGCACACGAACCGCGTCCCCTGGCCCGAGATTCGACGAAGGGCCTGGCGCTACGCTACAGATCGGACAGGTCCTCTCAGACTGTGGTCCCGAGGAGAGCGGCAGGAGACACAGAACCCCCCCCCCCCCCGGGAGTGGCGAACCCAAACCAACACATGTATGGGCAGCGACATACAGGGGTTTAAGTAACATAACATACAGGGGTTTGAAATAACATTCAGGGGTTTAAGCAGCACAAAGAGCAAAGCATGAATTAAAAGTGAGCCTACAAGCGTGACGCAATTGAGTCTGTATTTAGATCACGAGACATTCTTTGCCTAGTAATCACGCCCATACGATCGAGGTTTAAAGACGCTCAGGACAGTCGGTTCCGTTACGAAGTGGCGACAGAGAGGTTGACAATTAACGGCCCAGACGCGAACAGCATACGAACAATACGACTGCTAGGGAGAACTTTCTGCAGTTCGCCATACACTCTGCAGCGACTTCAAACATCTAACATCTGCGCTTCCGCAGCTATGGTGCACAATGAACCCATGTAAGCACGGATGTACATATATATATATATATATATATATATATATATATATATATATATATATATATGAGACGGTTAATGCAGATAGGTAAGCGTAAGTGTACGTGCTTTCGTGTATAAGCTGGTGGTGTAGCAGAGGGAGCGTCCGTCTCCACGTGGGACGATTAGATCGGATGGGCGGGTCGGCGAGACCGTTAATGCAGGTAGGTAAGCGTAAGTGTACGTGCTTTCGTGTATAAGCTGGTGGTGTAGCAGAGGGAGCGTCCGTCTCCACGTGGGACGATTAGATCGGATGGGCGGGTCTCGGAATCGAACCGAGTTTCATCCGCAGTCGCCTCATACCTTCCTTCATACCACAAGCGACAACCGTGGGCGGCCCAAACACAAAGACCCCAGCACTCAGCGGCCCCGTACGCGGAAGGGTCGGCTCGCCGTCCCACACGGCTGCTGCTCGGGTCCCGCCGCGTGGGCGGGACCGTGCGCCGAGCGTCAGTGGCCGGGACCGCGGCCTGGCGCCCGCCCAGTGGGGCGGCGGCAACGCACACCCACCTGCAGCTTCTGATGGAGCAGCGACGTGTTGTGACTCGGGCTGCCGCCTTCCACTCTGAAACATCAGCACGGCTCACGTCACGACACTGACCCATGCGTCTTCAGTGATGCACTCAGTAACGCAAGAAAAGCATCACGCATTCAGGAACGCCCTGTGGCTTCACTCCCATCCGTTTTCAATTCATGAACGCACGACGTCAAAACAACTTTGACTGCAGCTTTTATCTGCTACGCATTCGGAGGCACCTGAGTTTAGTGAACCCTCTTTTTGTCCTCTTTTTCAGTCCTCTTCTCACACCTATTTAAAGGCAACAGCCCGCCAGCTAAGTGGCCTTTCAGTGCTGAGGCGGTCACCGCAGTCGGGGCCGGGCAGGCCACGTGAGAGCGCCGCTAACCAGCACCTCACCGAGGCACCGTCAGAGCCGCCACGCGGAAAATCACCGCTAGAGCCGTGAGAACGGCCGCCGCCCCGGCCCGGCGACGCTCCACGGCCGGCACCGGCCGGCCGGCGGGCAGGCCGGTGTGCCCCTCAACACCGCCGCCCACCCGGACGGGTCACTCTCCACACGGCCGCCCACCCCGGACAGGAGTCCCTCTCCACACGGCCACCCACCCCGGACGGGGTCCCTCTCTACACGGCCGCCCACCCCGGACAGGAGTCCCTCTCCACACGGCCGCCCACCCCGGACAGGAGTCCCTCTCCACACGGCCGCCCACCCCGGACAGGAGTCCCTCTCCACACGGCCGCCCACCCTGGACAGGAGTCCCTCTCCACACGGCCACCCACCCCGGACGGGAGCCCTCTCCACACGGCCACCCACCCCGGGCGGGGTCCCTCTCCACACGGCCGCCCACCCCGGACGGGGTCCCTCTCCACACGGCCGCCCACCCCGGACGGGGTCCCTCTCCACACGGCCGCCCACCCCGGACAGGAGTCCCTCTCCACACGGCCCGGCTGCGCGGCCACAAGGTTGGCTTCTGAGACCGAGCCGGCCGGCTGGTCGGGGGGCGGTCATCATTCGCCCCGGGTCGGCTGATTCCGGGAGCCACAGTACGCGCGAACGCGCGCCCCTGACTTTGGCGGAGAGTGTGATGGAAGACGACCGGTGCTCTCCGAATCATTGTCTTTGTAAAAACAAACACTTCATCCGGACACAGCTACGAGAACATGCTTGCGTGGAAGAAACCCGTCCGCAGCATTCTCCGACGAACTTTACAGAGATCGAGAGCAAGGTGTTGTGCCAACGTATACCGGCCTTATTTCCTTCATGCTCAGGCCGCATGAGTTCAAGCCAGAGCACATCATGCTGCGAGTCCATTAGGTTATGGATGAGGCGATTAGCTTAATGAGCAATGAAGAAGCGTGACTGTCGATAAGGCGTCAAAGATGGCGCAAGCCCATTTTGTGGCGACTTTTGACACAGCAAGTCCTTACGCAATCCGCCACATTTAGTTGGCGGGTGGCAGACTACACGATCCAGCGACTGAATTGCGGAGAAGTGGAGCTGGCAAATCCAGCTGCCAAAACGGCCACTGGATCCCCAGCAATCCAGCTGCAAACACTGCAGCTGGATACGATCAAATCGCTGCGCGCAAACGCCACGTCCACACGGGCGACCTCAACGCCGTGCCGTCTGGTGCTAGCCCACCCTGCGCCGCTCGGGTCTCGGCTCGGCGCGGGCGGCGTCGCAGTCGCCGCCGGCGTGCTCCCCGCTCTCTGAGGGCGACCCCGACCGGACGGCACCGGACGGCAACCGGACGGCACCGGCCGGCGCCCGCTCCGGCCCGCCACAGACGCGGCGCATTCCGAGGCAGTCGAGCGTGGCGGCGGCGCTGGAGCCGACCGCCCAACGGGTCTGACGGACGTGCTCCGCCCGTCCGATCCTCCCCTCCTGCCTCGACTGCTCGGCTTGCCCAAAAAGTCTGTGTGGCATGCTCGGCGCCGTTCGGTCTTGCCGCGGGCCGTGTTCTCCGATCGCTCCGGCAGCAGTCACTCCGGTCGTCCGTCCGTTCGTCCGCCCTGTTCGTCCTGCCCGCCCCGCCCGACCCGGCGTTGCTCATCCGCGTCTGTCCCTGATCCAAGCCGCCGAGTCAGGCCTGGTTGGGATGGGCGGCAGGGCCCATGCCAGCCGCCGAGTCAGACCTGGTTTGGATGAGCGGCTGAGTCGAGACCGGTCTGGATGGGTGGCAGAGCCAGTGCCAGCCGCCGAGTCAGGCTGGGTCTGGGTGGGTGGCCGGGCCCGTGCCGGCCGCCGAGTCAGGCCGGGTTTGGATGGGTGGCCGGACAAGGCATGCCTTGTCACAAAAGCCCCGCAGACTGCCACACGCTCGGCTCACCGTCGGGGCAGCGGCCAGTTGGCGCAAGCTCCACCAGCGCGCCAGCCTGGGACGGCCAGCGGTCCCCACAGGCAGCACCGGGCCGCGGCGCGCCAGCCGTGGCCAGTCGGTGCGAGCTCCACCAGCGCGCCGGCCTGGGACGGCCAGCGGTCCCCACAGGCTGCACCGAGCCGCGTCACACCAACCGTGGCCAGTCGGTGCGAGCTCCACCAGCGCGCCGAGCTGGGACGGCCAGCGGTCCCCACAGGCAGCACCGAGCCACGGCGCGCCAACCGTGGCCAGTGCGGTGCGGCGGTGTATATAAAAATCCGCTAAACCGCCCACCGATATAAACCCCGCACGCACCGAGAAATCCGCGGCGGTGAAAACCCAGCACCGAGCAGGGCAGTCCCTGCTGTTCCGGGCGCTGCCCATTTCACCGGACTCCATGAGATAAAGGTGGGAATTGCCAAATAGTTAATGTATGTGGTGATGGCGCTGGGCGATACACATTCTTTTCTTAAAGTTTAATGGAATGGCCTGTTGATAGAGTGGGGCCAGGATCAGCGTCCTCGAAAAGCAAGGTCTGATGCCTCGCATGGACACTGAGCCGCCACCCAACCAAATGGTCGCGTGGGTAATGATCCCACCAGCCAAGTGATCCGCATAATGAGAAAATTCTGCCCAAGGTCTGACACCAAACGGTGCAAGGACGTTGAAGTTGTCCGCTCTTTGCCAAGACCGTACGAAATCCTGCCTGGGAAACGAGCTCTCGCTGTACACTACGTCCGGCGTTCTCAACAAGTCACTGGAACGGCCGTGCAGTAATGGGTGTGCGTGAGCTGTCCCTGGAGACTCAGCTATTCTGTGCACACTGAATGTTCAACAAGCATCAGCAAAAAAAAAAAAAAAAACGCAGCGGCGAGGTTAGGAGAGCTGAGCTTCATAATCATGGCTACCTGGGGTACAGAACGAATCTTTCTAACGACCTCGCACCGGCCCTATGCGTGACGAGAGCCGACATCTCGCGGCGCGCACGAGGTGCGCCTACCTCCCACCGGGGGGCGACCCGGGGCGGGCATGTCCGGGCTCCGGCACCGCGGCCGGTGGCGTCATAGGTGACGTCACCGGTGACGTCAGGCGGCGGGCGGCGGCGGTGGCGGGCCGGCGGCGGCGGCGGCGGCAGTCTGCGTGAGCCGCGTCAGCGCAGCGGACAGCGGAGCGAACCGTGACCCCGGCGACGGCGCAGGTCATGAGCCATACGTGACTCGGCCTTTGACCCGCGCACACCGAAACCGAGTCGGCCGGTACGGCAAGACTGCTGAAACAACCCGTACACAGGTACGTCACATATGCCTATAATGGTGCATATACACATTGTCATGCATTTAAATTGTGTGTTACGTCATAGCCTGGGCACGATGTGCGAGCGTGCAATGGTCCATAATGCCATTCTGGGAGCGTAATGGTCAAGCGGCTCGGGATTTCGGATCTCACGCGGGGACCCGGGTTCGAATCCCGGTCCTGCCGTGGCGCCTGGGCACATGTGCCGCTGCATTCGCTGGCGCCCTCTGAAGGGACCCGACGACACGTGCCAAGCTCCCATAAAGCGTCTCCAGCCGGCAGCCGGGTGCAGCCTGTCGGCTCCGCTCCGTCTGTCTGACCCGCCTCCTGTAGCTCTGAATGCTGCACCTACAGCCAAATACTTTGACAGTCATTGTAGTATGTTAGCAGTAACTTAAATACTCGGGCACTAGCCAATCAATACTGGGCGCAATGGGTGCAGCGAGGGAGAGGGAGAGAGGGGAACAGTAAGAGAGAGGAAGGGTGGGAGAGAGAGAAACAGAGAGTGGGGAAAGAAATGTGAAGGCCTAGACAGCCTACATGCAGTGGCGCGATCCCACACCACCCCCAGGCCAGCTCCGCCAGCCTCCCAGTTTGGCAATGGACAGCCTGAGCGTGCCGCATAGATACATTATTCATGGCCGCCCTTCTGTTTCGAGGCGACACCGAGCAGTTTGGCTGGGACGGTAGGTCCGTTTGTCTCTGGTCACGCTCCTGACCAAACGACAGCGCCGCGCGACTGGTGTTCGGCACTGGATCCGCCCCGCTCCCTTTACCACGCCCAGGGCACCAGGACTACCTGACACCCTCCAGTTCGCTTCATACAAACCCCCAGTGCTTCCGCAGTCATGGCATTTCGAGGAAATGCCAATCAGTATCGTGCTCCATGCTACTTTTGTCGGAGTGGAAAACTTTCTGCAAGTTGCTCCCACCCGATAATTCAGTAGCCACCGTGTAATTATCACCAGTGGGAAACACTGCTCTGCGGTGTTGGGGGTTGAGCGCTCTGACTCAGCGGGCCTGTCCTGTCAGATCGCCCGTCACACAAAAAGCACGGAACTTGAGAGGGTGGCAATATTTGTGACAGTCCGGGTGGTTTGCTGGACGACCCTCCGCCACCTTTGTTCCACTCCCTTGCCACCGTAACGCACGGAGTCGAGCGGGGTGTTCTCTGTCCCGCCTGGCGTCCGGCTGAGGCGTGGGTGCCTCAGCGCCGCCGGTCCTGCGCGGTGCCGCTGCTGGCTGACTGACGCCGCTGAGAGTCGGCCACAAGGCGCGGCACACACCCGTCGCCAACCCCGCTCCCGTGCCCAGTCCGGCCAGGAGCGGGGCTACAGACCGCAGGCAGACATGAGGACAGCGTCCCGTCCTTTCCCTGAGACGGCGGCGAGGCGAGAGCTCGAGAGACGGCGGCGACGGGGCCGCGCTTGGTTCTCGGAGAGCACGCGGCGCCCCAGCTCAGCCCTATCGCGCGGATAGTCGTGGTCTCCACTGGTCAAGAACACGACCGGGGCTCGGGGGTCTGACCAGTGCCTCCATTAGTCCCCTAAATTTCTCCCAGCGGTGACGTCACCACTGAGAAAATCATGGAAGCGGCGTATATCTGCCGCCCTCCGGCAGACACACACAGGACTCGACCGAACCGGTCATCCCGCCGCGCCGGTGTTTCAACACACCCTGCGTCGCCCACCGGGCCGGGCTGGTCCGGCCGGGCGCCGGTCGGCGCGCGTGATGGAAACACAATGGGCGCAGTCGAGCCGATCGACGCACAGGCACGTCACATCGGCTCAGAACTTCGGACGGCAAACGGAACGGGACGTGTCTCTGCCGGCCAGCGCGCGCCGCCCGCGTCGACATTGCATAAGAATCGCACGCTTTCCCGAAGTGGTCAAGCACGCAGCCTGTCAACCGCGAGAAAACGGGACATCGCCACTCGGTGCTGCCTCAAACTGGCGATACCCACGTGACGTGCAGCGGCGGCGCCAGCCACGTTGCAGCATCATTACGGCACATCTCAGTCTCACACTGCTCACGACTCCCACACGTCAAATCCGGAGTGATTTGACGGGGCGGGACTGTTCCACAAGGGCAGCAGCCACGGCCGTCTTCACCAGGCAGCGCATGCCAATCCGCCCGCTACCACGTGAGCTGAACTTCATGGACAAGGAACAGCGCATGTCTGTGCGCTTTTCACACGAATGTGCGCTCACCCTGAAAGACTAGCGGCGCTTACCGCCGGCGGCCAAACAGCAGCAGGGTCGACGAGTCCCGCCTCCACAGCCGGGCGCAAAAACCGCCGCCGCCGCCGCACCCGGAGACGGCCCAAAAACCTGAGCGGCGCCGTGCCGGCGGCGGCGGCGGCGGCGGTAGCCGGTCCCGCCGCCGCCGCCGGGACGCCCCGGTCAGGGTGGCGCCGGTGACGTGCTGCAGTCCCGCTTCCGGCCGACCGACGCGTGAATCAAGCCCCCTCCTCGAGGAGCAGCCGGCCGGCGGCACGGACCGCTCGCGTGCCTCGGAGGGACCGGGTGGGGGCGGGGATCGGCGACCGCCGGCGCAAGGTCGTCAGGGAGCGACGACCTGCAGCGAGGGCGCTCTCGCGAGCCGCCGACGAGGGCTGATACCGAGCAGTGCTGAATGCAAACATCGCCTCAGAAATCGATCTACGGCTAAGCAGGTTACTGAGCCTTAAACACTCGAATTACGACCGTCTCCGAGCAATATATTTCGCACTATCCGACACGTTTACCTTGACCCCAAATTGAGTTGTCCCCGTGACCTTCCGTTAATGGTTATCTGTGTCACGAAGGCATGCGTCAACGCCGTGCAATCGACCTTGTCTGGCCTGCCGGGTCGGTCGGTAAGTCCCAGCGCCGTTCCCGGGAGGCGAGGCCGCACGACTGAAGCGGGCGCGTACCTGCCGACCGTCGGCACGGTCAGCAGGCAGGTGGGACAATACGGACCGGACTCCCGGCCTGGACTCCCGACACTGGCTCGGACTCGGGGTCGGGCTCGGACTCACGACTCGGCCCGGACTCCCGGCTCAGCTTGGACTCCCGGCTTTGACTCAGGTCGGAAGTCCGTCCCGGACTCCCGGCCCGGCCCGGACTTCCGACCTGACACGGACTCCGACTCCCGACCTGACACGGACTCCCGGCCGGCTCGGACCGATTCGCGGCCACCTGCCGAGACGGAGGCCTGTCTGCGGGCCTCGGGTTCCCCCTCCCCCGCCCGGTGGTCCGCCAGCGGCGGCCGTCACCGCCTTGACCGGCCGCCCAGCCGCGGTCGCCGCCTTGACCGGCCGTTCAGCTGCGGTCACCGTGGCGTGAGAGTGACCCTTGGCGCCAGAACGCCAGGCGCAGCGGTCTGTCCGTTCGTCGGAGGGCGTCACTGAGTCACGTCGGTTTGTTGGGACCGATGACGGTCACTGCCAGCTCTCAGCAGAGACGTGTGACGAGATTGTGACACCCGGCCCTCCGCGGGGGGAGGGGGGGGGGCGTCACTCGCGGCCGCCGCCACAGGACGCTCCAGTCTGCGGGGTGCGGGCCGCCCCCGACGGCCTCTCGCGGCCCGCCGCCGCTCGGTGCCGAGCCGGCGGCGTTCGGAGCCGGCAGCGAGCCCGACTGTGGCGTGTGAGGAAAAAGCGCCGTTTTCGGACACCCATTTCAGCCAAACTGGGTTAGACGCGGCCTGTTCGCGAGCCGCGGCCTCTGTTTCGCCACGAGGAGCCCGTCCATGCACCTCATGCATACTCATGGCAGCGCCAGCGAGCGGGCGGCGGCGGCGGCGGCACTTCGTCTCCATTCCACGCCCAAAGACGCGGCACGTATCAATCGCGTGTGGACTCTTCCAGAAAACAGGAATTCGCTGCTGGGTCGCAGGGCGCGTGACGCAACATTGCGTATCTGGAGCAGGACGAGGTGGCGCGTCACGCCCAGACGCCGCTGGCGCCATTCTCGGTGCAGCCGGTATCAATGCCATTCTCGTCTCCGCCGACGCGCACCGCTGCCGACGCGAACACGCACGATTCCAGCAACCTGGACATGTACCATCCTCACTAGTCCGTATGTACACGGACTATCCTCATTAGCCCGTATGGTGGGTGCGTCCACCATCCTCACCGGTCCGCACATACGGGCAGGATCGCCACCAGCCGGCACACACGCCGACAGCGGCCGTGCTGCGGCGTCGGGCGGGAGCAGCCGCCGGCCTCAGAGGCGGAAGGCCTCGGACGCGGCGGCGCCGAAACCGAGAGTCGCCGGCGCCAGGTGGCTGCCAGCTGGCGTCGGCGCTGGTCGTTCACACCGCCGGAGCCGGCGCGTCCTCCAGTACCGGCCAGACTGCTGGAGGACGCCTGCTCCGGACTGCCTCGCCCCGCTGTCACGGCCGGGGCGAAGCGTAGCCCGTCCCTGGTCAGTGCCAGGTCAGGGCATGTCATCGGTACCCTGGAGCTCCTGTAGAGGGGACTGGTGTCGGGGACAGGCGCTACCCAGCGCCGGCGGTCGGCGAGTCGTCGCCAGATCCTTGCCAGTGGACCGTCCTCCGACCTCGTCAGCCGTCTCCGACTCCCCTCCCACCGGACCGTCGGTTCCGCGGTCTCTGGGTCCTCCCCAACGGACCGTTCGACCAGGCCCTCCTGGGTGCCGGACCATCACCACCCTGACCGGTCGGCCCGCTCCTGCGGCGTCACAAACACGCCAGTCAGTCGGCGTCGTTTGCGGTTCGCGCCGGATGTAATAATCAAATGCGCGCGCGCGATTCCGGGCGAGGCGCGCCTCCCCGCCGGTGGCACCGTTACTGCGCGTCCGAGGAGCGCGTCACGGCCGGATGGGCGGCCAGCTAATGTATGCGCCGGGAGGGGGGCCGGCGCCGGCGCACTTCGCCACGCGGCGGCGACTGGCCGAGCAGGACCGACGCCAGCCATCGGACGGCACCACTTCCCAGCGCGGCGGCGCCTGAGCGCGCAGAGCTAGCGGTGGCCCGTCACGGGCCTGCTCCGCTGACTGACCGGGAGGTGGCTGCGACCGGGCGCGGGGGATGACGCGGATCGCAGGACCGCAGGCGGCCGGCGGACGCCGCGCCGGCGACCAGGCGAGATCCCCAGCTGCAGCGGTCTGTCAGGCTGACCGGGGCCAGCTCCGAGGACCGGGCGGGGGACCGGCGCCGCTCGGCTCCGTCGCTCCCGACACAGGTGTGGCGACACTGGTGCGCAGACCGGTCAGCCCACGCGCGACGCGCTCACCTTCCGCCCCATTCCGGTCCACCGGACGAGCCCGCTTGCCGTCTCGATTCTCGGACCCAGAGCCGAGTGAGACATCTAGAGCCTGCTAATCGGCAGCGTTGTGTCGAAAGCACTTTCTACTCCCGTCCTTGTGTCTGCGCTGCTTAGCCCGACAGACCGGTGCACGTGTCAGATGCCAGATGCTGACTGGCAGGGGGTGGGACTCGATGCTTCCGACCCGGGACCCTCCGCAGATAATCAACCGCCAGCCACACTGTGCTAGTTCCAACGGGGCACACCACACCACGCTGACATTTGATTTCGACCTTGTCCGCTCGACTAAAACACAAAGAGTGGCGATGTTCGGAGCGCCGTGATGCGTGCTGCGATTGGAGTGATGCGTGGTGACCTCTGGCTGCCGTTGGCCCGGAGCTGGCTCACACGACGCGTCTGTAGTACCTTCGGAGATCAGACACACGCGAGCACTGGCAAGGGACGTGGACTCGCTAGTCACCAATGATCGCTCAAGCTGTTCACCCTTGCCTGTCTTACGCAGCCCCACAGCGGTGCGCATCGTGAGACAGTTCGTCTCAGGCCAGGACACGCATGCTGATGGAGCGGGTAAAACACGCGGAGAACAGACAGAGACGGATACACCGGCAGACGGCGGCAGAGGCCGGCGCAGACAGCAACGGTGTGTCTGTTAGTGAGAGGTGGGTGAGAGAAGGAACATAACGGCCGCACATTACAGACCGTCGCCAGGACCCCCGTGGCGGCTGCGTGCGACGGGTCAGCGGTCAGGCCGACGGCGAGCCGCCAGTTACCACGCCAGTCCGCCGCACGCCGTGTGACGTCACGCACGCCGTGTGACGTCACGGGTGACTAAACGGCGGCCGGGAGCCGGCCGGGATGGGGCCGGCGTCGTCCCGTGCCGTGCCGGCGCCGGCGGTCAATGACCAGCCGCGGCGTCCCGGGCGCCGGCCGGCCGGAACGGTCCTCCCAGCAGCGGCGCCGACCGCAGCTGACGGCCGGCCGGCGCCGGCGGATGGTGCCGGCGCAGCAGCCGGCGCTGGTAGCCGCCAGCATCCCACCGCCTCTACCACTGACAGCGGGGCTGGAGCCGGGAGCAGGACTGGGACGGAGAACGGAGGCCGGGGCCGGGACCGGCAGGGATCCTGACCGCCAGACGCTGGGGACCAGTGGGGCGGGGCCGGTGGGGGCCAGTGGGACGGGGCCGATGGGGAGCAGTGGGACGCTCAGAGGAGGGCCGCGTGGGGACAACCGGCACCCGCGGCCCAGCCGGCCCGGCGAGCACGCGCGGCCGGCAAGGGAGGCCGGCACAGACCGACAAAAACGGCCAGCCAGCACAGACCCATGAACCGTGGAGCACCACAGCTAGGGCAGACAGGCGCACAGACGAGGTGCCGGGGTCACATACCGGGCATGTGCTACAAGCGGCCCCTGGTGCGGCAAACGACCGCGGCGGGGAATAGACAGACAGGCGTGAACCAACACAACGGTGGCGAACGGACAGCCCACGAACTGTATGGAGCCACTGTTTGGCTGACAAGGATGAATATGCATATGGGATTGCGTACGGGCCGAGCTAAAGTACACAAAGCCTCACGGGGCATGTGGGCTGACAATCTGCAAACAGACCGCGACTGCATTACGCAAGGCAAGGTCTGGGTCTGGGTGGGTCAGTCAGCGTTTGGGCGGGCGCTCACCTCGGCATGGGCCGACTGCTACACGAATGGCCGGTGGGCCCCCGACAGGCGCTCATTAGCGCGGCCCACGGGACCTGGCCGGCCGGCCGCGTGTCCGGCTCACAAACGCGGACAGTTGGGGTCAGGCAGACTGGGCAGCGTCCAGGCAGCGCCACGGGACGCTGCCCTCACCCAGAGCCGGCGGTGGTCGGGGTGAAGACGGGTCGCAGGCCGGCGCCTCGGCGGAGCGGCCGCTCGCCCAGCGGCGCCCCGGCACGGATCGGCGTCTCGCCACAGCCGTGTGTGTGAGTCGGCGGCGGCGGACGACCCTCTGCGGCGCTGCAGTCGCCGGTGCTAGTCTGACCGCGGGCTCTGTTGCAGAGGCGGCGGCGGCGCCATGCTGTGGCGACGCGCGGCGCTGCTGACGGCCGCCTGGGCGGTGGCCGCGCGCGCCGAGTGCCCCTGGCCGCGAGACATGGCAGACCTGCACGGCTCGTGCGTCTGCGCTTACAACGCCGCCACCCAGCTCTCCGTGCAGTGCCAGTTCGTCGACTTCAGCCGGCTGCTGGGCGCGCTGCGGGCGGCCATCCCCAACCAGGAGCTGGACCTGCTGTACGTGACCAATAGCACCATCGCCAGTTTGCCCAACAACGTGTTCGCCAACATCCCCGTGCAGAACATCCAGTTCTCCGACTGCGACCTGGAGGCGATCGCCGACGGCGCGTTCTCGGGGCTCGAGTCGCGGCTGCGCAACATCAACCTGGCCGGCAACAGCCTGACGGAGGTGCCGACCGGCGCGCTGCAGAAGCTGAAGCGACTGCAGTTGGTCGACCTCTCCAAGAACCGCATCACGCTGGTGCCCGACGACGCGTTCAAGACGCTGTCGCTTGCAGACAGCTCAAGCTGGCCGACAACAACCTGACGGTGAGCGCCGACGCCTTCAGCGGCCTCGAGAAGACGCTCAAAAACCTCAATCTGAAGGGCACGGGCCTGCGGACGCTGCCGGACGGCATCGAGCGCCTCTCCAGCCTGGCCTTCCTCGACCTGGCACAGAACAGCATCACGCAGCTGCCGCCGCGCGCCTTCGCCGGCCTCGAGTCGCTGACGGCGCTCAACCTGGAGCGCAACCTCATCCAGGTGCTGGACGGCACCGTGTTCGAGGGCGTCAACAACACGCTCAGCTCTCTCAGTTTGCTCAACAACCTGATCGCCGACTTCCCGACCGAGGCCATGGCCATCATGGGCCGGCTGCGGGTGAGTGGCCACCGGCCGCCGCGCCGCTCTTCGCCCGCTTTTCCGCCAGTCGCACGCACGCGCGCACGCACGCAAGTACGCACGCACGCACGCACGCACGCACGCACGCACGCACGCACGCACGCACGCACGCACGCACGCAAGCAAGCAAGCAAAGCACACACACACACACTTTGCTGCACTTTGTCAACTCCTGTATTTCATAACTTCTGTTCCACCCATTGACGACCTTCATCGCGCGCTGTACGTCGGTGATGCGATGCGGTGACGTAGGACTGGAGTCGGTCCTGTTGTGGACATGCACTCGCCAGTCTGTGGCTTGTGTATGCACAGCATGGACCATCTCCCGCAGCGCCGCACCGCCAGCGTCTGACCGCCATCTGCCGCCATCGCAGGTGCTCGACATCGGCTTCAACCTGCTGACGCAGCTGCCGAAAGACTGCCTGCTGGCGATGCGGTCGCTGACGCTGCTGGCACTGGACGGCAACCCGCTGTCTACGCTGCCCGAGGCGGCGTTCGATCACCTACGCGCCACACTGCGCGGCCTCAGCCTGGGCGGCCGCTTCCTGACCTGCGACTGTCGCATCCGCTGGATCGCCCGCTGGATCCGCGACACCGACCTGCAGGTCACCAGCAGGGAGCGCAACCCGCAGTTCTGCGGCAGTCCGCCCGAGTTCCGCGACCGCACCTTCTACCAGCTGAACGCCGAGGGTGAGCAGCGGCCGTCAGCGCGCGCCGCCCGCTCCGGCCGGCTCCTCCGCCGGCGGCGGCAGCGCGCCGGTGCGTCGGCCGGCACACAGCGGTGGGCCCTAAACGACGAATGTGCGCGTTGTGGGTTTGGAACTGCGGCGTATGTTTTATGTACTGAGACCAAGGCGTGTTTTGTGGGTCGTTGGTGGTTGCACGTCGCCCGCAACAAACATCCGTTTAGGGCTCTTCACATCAACATAACCGAACCGAACAAAATAGGCCGTGTGCCACATCGCTGACAGTGCTCCGCTATTGCAGAGTTCGTGTGCGCGGACGCGACTACCCAGGGTCGGCCGCCGTCCTCGTCTGTAGAGACGACAACGGAGCGTCGGCGGACGACGGAGCGTCGACGAACGACGGCGCGTCGGCGGACGACGACGCGGCCGCCGCCGCCGACGACGACGACGGCGGCGACGACGCGTCGGCCGACGGCCGAGGTGCAGATCACGCGCCGGCCGGCGGCCACCACCTTCCGGCCCGTGTACACGCAGCCGCCGTACCGGCGCGCACCGCCCGCCTCTGAGCCGCCGGCGCCGGCCGCCGCCGACCCCTCGGCCCGCCCCAGCCTCATCTTCAAACCAGAGACGTTCGCCGGCGCCGGCGGCGCCGCGTCGCGCAGCAGCCCGTTCGGCGAGGAGGTGCGCGTGCAGGACGCGTACCGTCGCGGCAGCGCCGTCGTCATCCAGTGGGAGTCGGACGTGCCCAACATCCTCGGCTTCCGCGTGGTGTACCGCCTGTTCGGCGACGACATGTTCAAGCAGGGTCCGCCGCTGGCGCCCTCCGAGAAGGAGTTCAAAATCAAGAACGTGCCCAGCCAGGAGTGCATCGTGGTGTGCGTGGTGTCGCTGGAGGACATCGACATCTCGCCGGAGACGGTGCCGCCGCGCCAGTGCCGCGAGATCCGCACCGACGCCGCCGCGCCCACGCACATGGACACGTTCGTGATCGCGGCCAGCGCCGCCATCTGCGGCACCATCATCATAGCCGTGGTCGTGTTCGTCTGCTGCAACCGACGGCGCGCCGCCGACCGCAAGCAGCCGCTGCCGAGCGTGCTGCCGGCCACGCCGGCGCCGCCGCTGGCCAGCATGGGCACGCTGCGCGGAGCCAAGGACTGGGACCAGCTCTCCATGTACAGCCACCGCAGCATCCCACGCGCCCGCATGTACCACATGGACAGCAAGGGTGAGTTGGCGGGCGTGTGGCACGCGCACAGCGGCAGCGAGCCCGCCGACGACACCGTACTGCATGACTTGTCGTCGCACCCATTCGCGGATCGGAATGAATGCCTCATGGAATGCGATGCATCAGTCGATCACGCAACGTAAGAACGGAACGCACTGTCAATGCCTGAGCTGGCCTGTATACCGGACCGTGGCATGGGTGGCACGTGGCATGTCGCCCGCTGGCCGTGCTGAGCGGCCTCGCGCCCCGTGTCGGCAGGCGGCGCCGGCAGGGACGCCTTCTTGGCCGACGAGGTGCGCTCGCAGGCGTCGCGCGCCTCCTGGCGACGCCGCAGTCTGGCCGACGGCCAATCGCTGCGCAGCTACTCGGCCATGTCGGGTCACTTCCCGGCGCACAGCGGCGGCGGCGCCGGCGGCCCGGGCCTGGCGCTGCCCCGACCAGGTCAGTGGCGCGCGCACCGGCCCACCGACCGGCCTCACGTGCGCCGGTCATGGCGCCAACATCACAGCCCGCTAACCCCCCACCCTGGAACGTCCGACGGCCATGATGAAGTGTGCTCTGGGACGCTGGGATTCTTGGGATATTCTAGGGTCATCAAATAAGCTCCATCGGAAGCCTTATTAGAGAAATAGTCATCTAAGAAAATGAACTATCTATGCTGGACCAATGAAAGCTGATCAAATGTGGAAATATTACTATTTTTCATAATGTTATTTACTCTTCCCATTTTTCAACTTCTCATATATTTGATTCCTATACTTTCGAGGACATGAGCAGAAATAGCATTGGAGCGTTCCCGACAGGTGAAGACAATGTCACCAACAGTGTGCTCCGATTTCACCGGTAGCCGTGTTTACTCCGCTGAGTCATGCACGAAATTCGCTCAGGCAACTCCTCTGGTAATGGTTAGCCCGTAGTCCGTATGTCCCGGCTCTGCCGCCCCCGCCGCGCCCCCTGCCGGCCGGCCGGCGCGCCAGCTGACACTGACCACTCGCGTGTCTCTGTCACTCTGGTAGGTTCGGCCAGCTCGTCGCGGAGTTTGTGGCAGGATGCCTTACTTAGTGACCTGTGCGGGCCGCAGCATGACATACCCCTGTAGAGCGCGCGCGCCGCTCTCGCCCCCTGGTGGTAGGTATGCCTCGTCGCGATCTCCGCTTGTCGCCCGCCCTGTCCGCATGCCGACTCCTCTTGCTGCGTCCGCCGTCACTGCTGGGCAGAGCGGGGTGTTTACGCTGGTCGCTGCTGACGGACGCCTCGCCCACTGTCGTGAGGCACCGCCGCCTCGCTCGTCTTATTTCGCTCTCGTCTCCTCGTCTGGTGCTGTACTGGCTTGTCTGGCCTGGCCGCCGGCGGTGTTCCTGCCCTGACCCTGCCGCGCCGTCCGCAGAGCTGCGCACCTCCCGCACCTCGCTGGCCTCCGGCTTCGGCGGCGAGCGGCGCCGCAGTCGGCGGCCGTCGGCGTCGCGCGACCGCTCCGCCTCGCGGCTCTCCAGCCACTTCACCGACGACACGGACGGCTGGACCGACCACGACATGGACATCTACATGGCTGCCAACGCGACGGCGCGCGGCAGCAGCCTGGTGCAGCTGTGAACGGCGTCGGCCGCGGGCGCCGGTTCGGCCCCAGCACTAGTCGCCGGTGACATCAGCGGATGACGTCATCCACTGACGTCAGCAGCCGCCGGCGCCGACCGGTGGGGCGCTCGGAAGCTCATGACACGGCGGGGTCGCGAGCGCACCGCTGCCGGCCTCGAGCCAATGGATGACGGCCGGCGCGCCCGACGGTGACGTCACGGACTCACCCCTAACTCACCAATATGCATCTCGCCCCGGTGATCCACAAACAGAGGGCAGCGAGCCCCGCGATTCATCAGTATACAACGAGCAGCCATACCTGCACCAGGACAGTAGCTACGCAGAGGCGGCCGGGCGGGAAGAGCCCGCACCGCGTCAGGCGTCAGTAAACGGCGCGCGAGCGGCGTACTTCGCTCGGTGGGTGGACGGTTGTTGATAGCGCGCGTACAATGAGCGCTGCTGCTGAGCGTGTGACAGGGCGTCTGTCGCAAGTGAAACTGCCGCCGCGAACTGAGCGCCCGTGGAGGGCGGGTCCGCCACCTCCAGGTGCGCGCGCCGGGGGCACTGGGCACGTGCTGCCGCCCACCCCTGTGATGTGATCCGTGTGTGTGCGTGTGTGTGTGCGTGTCTGTACTGCTGTCGGCGGGGAGCCGTCCGGCTCACACCGCCGGCCCTCCTCACGGACCGTGCCGCCCAGCTCGTCAACGGACGACCCCAGCGCTCATACCATGTCTCAATATATGCTCGAGAATGTGTCGTTCGTATTTGGCTGGACCTCTGGCAAGCCGTCGGGCGGCGAACAGAGCCGGGCACGCGGCGGCAGAGCGGCGCGCCGCTCGAAATGAGCGACGCAAGGCGGCGATATGGCACACGGTCATACGTGTCCTAAGGCGTCACGAACGGTAGACGATTGCTGCTGGAACGGAAGGCAGCCGTGCGCCGACCGTATGTCCGACCCCAGACACCGATAAGCCGCGGTACCAAACACGAATGGATACAACGGTACGCGGTGCCACTATTTGTAAAGCATCCCACAGTTCACTTGATGGATGCCATCAAGAGGTTTGCCTATGAAGTTTCGTTGTGACATCAGGCTGAAAATAGTCAATCTTTGAAAGGAAAGAAGCCTGAAATTTTGCATTTGCAATGCATTCCAATCAACGCGTTGGCCAACCCTCACCGTCTGCCGCCCCCCCCCCCCCCCCCCCGGGGACGGACAAGGTCAGTGAGGGTCCAGGAAGCCCCGGCGCCGGATGCGTGGCCGGAATGGCCGCCGGTCCGGTCCGGTCTGGTCGGCTCGCACCTGGCCCGTGTCGCCTGTCTGCAGAGCCAGACAGACGGCCGTGCGGTGGTGACCGGCCGCTGCGGGGGCGGCGCCCGCTGCGGCCGCCGCCCGGTTATGGACAGCTACTGAGAGGCGGCGGCTAGCGCTGACCACTGGGCCGGAAGGGGCCGCCGGCCGGCACCGGACCGCGGCGCGCGCGCCGTTTTTGTGGCCACCGGACGGCGCAGGTGGGACCCGACTGGCGCCGCCGCCAGACGCTCCCGGCCGGCCGGCGCGCCGCTCCGGCCACTGCCGGACGGCGATTCACCGCGGCGCCGACACAGCCCGCTCAGCACACGCTGCACAATGCACAAGGCCGTGACACAGCGCATGCATGCATCGTGGAGTCAATGGGCAGCTGAAATCCCGTAACGCAGCAGAACGACATAAGGCTCTGTGACTAAGTGTAGCGAACCAGAAAGGAGCTGAAGCTCCCCACCATATTGTAACCACCCTTTTTACAACACGCCTGCCATACGCGCACAACGTTTGGTTTGGCTGGTCACACGCGGCGTGACCAGAGCGGTCGTGTCGACTAATGCTTGCTGCCGGCCAGGGGAGATGGAGAGGCCCGGGCTGACGGCGCGCTGTGGGACGGTGAGAGCGTTCCGACGGGGCGCGACCGGCCCGGCCGGCCCCGGTACGCGGCGCGACCCTGCGCGACTGGGCCACCCCGCCGCCCGCCGCTCCGCCGTCCGCCCGCCCGGCTCCACCGCCCCGCCGACTGTCCTCCGGGCCCCACCGCCCCGCCGTCTGTCCTCCGGGCCCCGCCGCCCCGCCGCCCCGCCGCCCCGCCGCCCCACCGCCCCGCCGCCCGCCCGGCTCCGGGACAGACCGATCGGGACGGGCCCGTCCGGGGGACGGCGCTCGCCGCCCGCCCGGCTGCGGGACAGACCGATCGGGCCGGGCCCGTCCGGGGGACGGCGCTCGCCGGCCTGCCACGCCCGCTGCCCTTCAGTGCTGAGTTCACGATGTGCGTGTCTAATAGCCCCTCATTGGCATGGCACGGCTGTGACACCACGGGGCATCACTTCTCACAATCGTTTAACGGGATCGACCTGCTCCGAGACGGACATTGAACTGACAAAAACGGGCTACAGCGCGCCCCCAAGCGTCGTACGTCCAGCCTGAGTGGACACGGGCTCTCTCCGGGGCGGAGGTCCTCGGCGAGTCACACCGCATGGACGACCCCACTGAGCTCGCGTCGCGCACGTCTTCCGACAGGCACCACGACCGCCAACAACTCTAGCGTTTCGCGCCGGATCGCCCTGTGCGCCGCATCGACAGACACCAGCACCTGAAGCTCAGCAGCGAGCCGGCAAATCGGAGTCCAGTCCAGTCACCGCTGTCGCCTCGAGAGGACCGTCTCCCGCCTGACCTGGGCACTGAGCGTCGGACAACAGCAGGCGACTGTGACCACAGAGCGGTACCGGCCGCCTCTGCCCGCCGGACAAACACAGCTGCATCTAACCGCAGGGGAAGCATACAGACAACTACAGCGGCTACTCTGAAATGGAGTACAGCACCCACGACAGGCAAGACATCTGTTCGAAATTCAACGGACGCTCTCAATACTCTCCATTGTACAAGCTCGCCTGGGTTCTACCCAGTTCGGCTCCAGACATCTCCTTGGCGTAGGAGGCGGGCGTGAAATGCTAGCGCATTCTCTGCTTGTGAAGCAGGCAATGCGAGTCTCACGCCAATGACACACTGTTGGCGCGCGCCATCAACCTTTCAAGACTTCTGAATTGCAGTATGATGTTGACAAATGCGCGTAAACCACACCCAGCAAGTGTTCCAAAAGGTCAAGATCCTGCCGGCGCCGGCCGGCCGTGCGCCGTGACCGCCGGGCCGCCTGCCGGTAGGTCGGTCGGCCCAGGTCACCGCACCGGCAGGCTCCCGGTTCGTGACCGCGCGTGGCCGCCGGGCCGGCCGGTCGCTTGGTCGGCCCAGGTCACCGCACCGGCCGGCTCCCGGCCCGTGACCGCGCGTGGCCGCCGGGCCGGCCGGTCGCTTGGTCGGCCCAGGTCACCGCACCGGCCGGCTCCCGGCCCGTGACCGCGCGTGGCCGCCGGGCCGGCCGGTCGCTCGGTCGGCCCAGGTCACCGCACCGGCCGGCTCCCGGCCCGTGACCGCGCGTGGCCGCCGGGCCGGCCGGTCGCTTGGTCGGCCCAGGTCACCGCACCGGCCGGCTCCCGGCCCGTGACCGCGCGTGGCCGCCGGGCCGGCCGGTCGCTCGGTCGGCCCAGGTCACCGCACCGGCCGGCTCCCGGCTCGTAACCACCGTGGCCACCGGGCCGGCCGGTCGCTCGGTCGGCCCAGGTCACGGCGATGGCCGGCTCCCGTCTCGTGACCCAGCTCGGCTCGTGGTCGCCACCGCTCTGCCGCTGTGTGTCATGTGAACTGTGCGTGACGTCGCATGGCAAGCGACTTTTATAGAACGTGTGAAACGGAACTGGACTGCTTACGCACTAGCTTTCGAGTGAGAGGACACACAAAAAAAAACAGAGCACGTTCGACCACCAGAACCGAAACGAACTGCCGACAGATAAAATACTGAGAGCGTTTCGCTCACACTTGGATGCCGCGTGACACATGCCTTTTCTATTCTCTTAGTGTTAAAAAACGGTAGGTCGTTAGTGTGAAAGATCGCATAAAACGTTGACCTATCTAACGGCAAAAAGTTACCGGAAACGACGGCGAATGATTCACACGGTCATCGTTATCATCACACATTGCTATCGGAAGCGATTTTCCGTCCTGTGGGACCCAGTCAGGCACCTGCTCAGCGCCCATCAGTGGGCCACACGACTAAGTGCACTTCCAGCCAGCCGGTCTCCGGCGCGTAGGCAGCCAGGCCATCCGACTATACGGGCCGAATACCTGGCGGTATGCGGGCCAGAGCCGGCGTGCCAGGCCGCTTGTGAGCACGAGCCAGACGCCAGGGCGTCGCCGACATCGCTCGGTCACCCACGTGCTCGCATCTGTCCCTGCAGGACACGTGTCGCGGACAGCCACAGCGGGGGAGAACTTTAAGCACGGCTCAGCGGGCGGGCGGCCCAGCTTAGCGTACACGACAGTCAATGACAAATGTCCCTGCGTCACTGTTCGTGGCACGTGCCGGCCCGTTACGGCGCGCGGACCACGTGACGGTCCCGTACGCCGCACGTAGAGTGGCCCGCAACCCGTCTGTTTCTGACGCACGGAGCATCGCTTCAACGGAGGATCTCGGTCGGCAGCGATCCACGTCCTGCCATTCACAATAAACCACTCAATTGGAAAGAAGTCGTGCGACGAGTGGGTACTCTGATGCAGGATCCATCTTCCTGCCTGTACGATGTCGTTTAAATACTGGCACTCAAGTTTGAGTTCTAATAGAACTTCGGAGGGAAAGCGAGTATTGTCGTACTGATACGGATGCATTGCTACACATATCTCTAATTTCGTCTTTTTAGTCGCTATGAAGGCTTCACGAGCAAACCTTGAGCCAGCTCAGAAACAGCACTGAACTTGTATCTGTC